GTGATGGTTGCGTGCAGGAAGAGGACGGACAATAGCGCTGTCCCCACAGGTTGAAGGGTGGAGTAGATGGAGATGATGCCGGGAGCCACAACGGTACCTGCCCAGCTGTACGCGTTGTAGTTGAAGGCCGTGCCCAGCAAGGCGGCGTAGGCAAGTGCCAGCCAAGGCGCCGGGGAGGTAGACAGGGCATAGGCGGAGGAAGGGAGGGACTGACTCACGCAAATGATGAGGGTCAGGACGGATCCGATCGAGTAGTACCAGGCGGTCACGACGGTGGGGTGGTAGTGCGTGAGCGCCGTTTTTTGAAAGACGAGGAGGGAGGCCATGGAGAGGCATTGGAGAAGGACAATGACATTGCCCGAGATGAAATCTGCGCGGCTGCTGCTGCCATCCCCTCCCTCGCTCTCTCCTCCTTCTTGGCCGGAAATACCCGCCGGGTGGACAACTTCCACCACCACTGCGCCCGCTACCGCCGCCAAGAGACCCAATGCCTTCAAGGGGGTGAGGCGTTCCATCCGGAAGAGCACGGAGAGGAGCATGGTGAAGACGGGGATGGAGGGTTGGAGGACGGAAAAGTTGGTGGGGGTTATTAGGGTCAAGGCTTGCACGGCCCCAAGCACGTTCCCGGCGGAGAAAAGGCCCAATGCCAGGAAACGAGGGATGTGCCTTGATTCCAGCTGCCATCTGCAGAGGGAAATGGAAGCGGAGGATCAGAGGACAGGCCTGGGGGCCGGGATGGGAGCACAGGCGTGGGCGATGCGGGGTCGGGGGGAAAGGTTGCAAGCACCGTGAAAGACCGCACATGGCTGATCATGGTGTATTAAGAATGTGACCCGCCCGACTAAAGGTCTAGGGCTGACCGACTACGCTATTGCCTTTTTCTTAAAAAATTGAACAACGATGGCACCGGCCGGGGGGGCCCAGGGTTGACTCCACGTACCTGTGTTTTCCCCTCCACACCGCCACGCAAGCGTACAAGGCCATCAAAAGGGATGCACTCAGCTCGCGGTACAAGGCGAATACCAGCGGATTCACGCCTTTTGTCTTCAATGCGCTCGACGTGAGGACGTGATAGCCCGAGAAGATGACCTGGACCAGGACCATCAAGGGGTGCACGAAGCAGGTTTTCGCAAAACATTTCTTGGACACAGTCGCAAAATCACCCATCGTGCCCGCCGTGGCATTCGAAGCATCTTTGCATGCGGTGTCTTGGACTTCCGCGGTCGACGATGGGCTCTGACTTTCGGGGGTCATGGCGTCCTTCAACAGGGTGGCCGACTCACCATCGGCAGAGCACGTTCGCGGTTCTACTCCTGTTCCTTGGATGGTAGCAGAATAAGACATCCAACAAAAAGACAATGTTGAAGGCGCTAGAGCCCGACACTATACCAACTAGAGTGGAGAGAAAGTCGTCGGGAAAAGGGCAGCACAGGATGCTTCAGGCGCCTCCTGTGGGCTGAAGTGAGTGAAATGGAAACCATCAGCGGAAGCCCATGGACGTCCGAAAAACATGTGAAACCTGTATTTTCCATTGCCAAGATTGCCGTACGCCACTGGCAATCATTTTATGATATTCCGGTGTTTTTGTTGGGTCCATTCGCGTTATCCAGCTTTTGACCTTAGGCTATGGGCTTGCCCGCTGGCATCGAATCGTTCCTCTCTGCCGGGTACTCGCCCTCTGCCGGGAATTAACTCGATGGACCTCGGATCACGAAAGCAGTAAAATACGAAAAACCGACAGCACCTCTCGCACAAAGGCATGGGTATATTCAGCGTAGGAAGACATGATGCGCCACTCTTCGAGGATAGTCGAAACTCAAGCTTGCGAGACACGGAGGGGCCCTCGATGCGTGAACTGGGTGGAACGATCGAGGAATCCACCGAAAAAGAAATAATTGCCTTTTACAGGTTTGACAGTCTTTCAATAGAAGGTTTTTCCTTTGCAGCTTAAGATTTTTTGCGAAGATTGTATTTCGGTAGTCATCAACGCACTGAGTCCTGTAGTACTGCTGCAGGACATTTTGCGCAATTTTCTTTCAGTGGATTAAACATGTTTTCCTCCCCAAAACAACTCATCTCAAACCACCTTCTCATTGTTTCTTCACTTGCTCTGTGTTTTTGAAGTCCTACAATCCCTCCTATAATTGCATGGCCGGATTATGGCAAGGAGCGACAGCATTATCACTTTTGAACCGTGGCATTCATTTCTCCCTCGTCACGATAAAACAAAGGGAAGGATAAGATTTGATTATGTGCTATTTCTCTAAGGGCCAATAAGTAGGCTTTACAAGTAAAAATCACCAACGTGGTGAAAAGAAAAATAGGTATCATGATTCAAGGTAGCTTATCAGCTTATCTTGCACTTTCGATCAATCACTCGTATGAATTTTGCGACCGACTATGAGCAGGTAGTGTACATCATCACGGAAAAAAAGTCAACGAGGTGTGGGCATCCGAGGACGACTCCTCAATTCCACTGTCTCTAGCTAAGTTGAGGTAATCAAGATGTTGTGTTGCGCGTGGTTCAATTTCTTTCATCCACAGGCAAATCTGAATCCATATTTCTCCTGTTTGACCCGAGTATTCTTCTAATTCTGATTCTGAATCCATGAAATGTACGAATGTGTTGTCCGGGGGGGTAATTTTACGCCGTTGCTAAATCAAAGAAAGCACTTATGTGGCCAATCATGGAGAGTAAATGACTAGCATATTAACTCACATAACAAATCGTAATAGACCGGGTAGTTTTTGTCACCTTTCATACAATGAAGAGCCTTTACGCACATTGACCGCTCATCTGTTGTTGTCTGGAAATGGGGCCATCCACGAACGCACGACTATGTGCCGCTCGAGATTGCGGTGGGGGAAAAAAAAATAGAAAAGCGGCTCCCTGAATAAAGGTGTACTAGTACATGATCTAGCATGTATGAGCGACATTTTAGTTGGTGCATGCCTGTACAAATGCAACGTGCACCCGCGAATGACGAACGAGGCGTTGTTCTGCCATCGCCCGGCGGAACATGCGGGACAGACGAGCTGGAACAAAGACATCAACAAGATAGACCTCAAGCACCGCGTTACACCACGACCACAAAGCGCCAAACCCTTGACAACACGTCTCAAGGCATGTCACAAAGGGTGTCATGAAGATATTGACGGTCGTTGTCTTTGGAGAGGTGGCCATGGTTTGAGGTGACCACTTGGTTGAAGAGGCTTTCGTCCCTGACATCTCGTGGGGCCCTCTCAGGCGGACACGCACGCATGTTGATGTTGCGCTTTTCTTTGTCCATGGTGATGATCTTCTTTACACCTATCAAAAGCCCTAAGGGTCACTTGTTGGACACATTGAAAGCCCTGAAGGGTATAGCATATTCTGCATGACACACGGTATGCGTATTCTTCCACTTTATTATGGGCGCTTGTGGTCCTTGAAAGGGAGGGAAGGGAAGAGGAACAAAATAAGCGGCTCTGGGCACTTCTTCGCCCTCCGTATCCCTTGACACTTGTAGTCGTTGAACCAAATACCCGTCTGAAACGTCGCGTCCCACAATGTGTAAATCACATACACCTACATTTATTCTTGGCAAGTACGCTTGTGTCCGTGTACATGCGAAGGTGCCGGTAGGTACCAAAGCCGCGGCCCGGCGGGGGCCGAAGAAGCCCTCAGAGACAGTCTACGTACGCACAACAGGAAACTGGCAGCGAACACTCGCAGCTAGTCTTAGAAGCTTGGTTGCATGTCAACTTGCCACTTCAGCTTACCCACGAACGAAATGTCTCCCTCTTACATTTACAGAGCGACTTACTTGTGCACCAAAAGACCAGCTGTGTGCCTGTGATTCATTGGAAAAACCTTTTCTCTCTGGTCTGTCCCCCGACTGGCTTGTCTAGAGCGAGCCACGAGCTGTCTAGTTATGGAGCCGTACAACCGTAACACTGGAGCTATTAGCAAGAAAGCTTCGCCACCTGAAGCTTCTTCACAGTCTACATGCTTTGTGAAGAAGCTCTTTACCATGGTGGCAGTCGAGGATCCTTCCATTCTCTCATTCACTCCAGGTAAAGAGGAGGACGGAAGAAGGGGAGCAGTTGAATAAGACGAAAGGGGAGGGCTTGGGTTTGATAATCTGCACAAAAACTCTCTGTAATCAGCATAATATATCATAAGCATGATATCACGTACATGTGCATGACATGCATTCGTTTTTTCCTGTCGCTGTCTTTCCCGAGGTGGTTGTGATAGCGAGCAGCACGAATCCGTATGTGCCAGGAACATGTGTGACAGCCATACACATGTATCAACTTTTACGGATAAATACAATCATATGTGTCCATTTCTATAAGAACATGTGCATGTGCTCTGCTATTTAAAGAGAGATCTCCACACGTGACAAGAAAGTTTTGGGCGGCACCTGGGAAGCAAGTCAAGCTCACTATTCCCCCTATCCCCGTTTCCCTCCTTGTCTTGAACCCCATGGTAGATGGCAAGAGTTTTGAGGTTAAAAACCCGAAGCGCCTCGAGAGTGAAGTCCTGCCTCGATACTATCGACACGGCCACTTCACCTCCTTTGTGCGCCAGCTGAACTTCTACAATTTCAAGGTACGATACGCCCTGGGGACGGAGAGAGATGCAGAAGACGAGGCAGGGTGTAAGAGTCGAGGGCGAGTGTTTCCACGAGGTGTCTTGAGATTAGGCTCGCAGAGTCTGCCTTTTCTGGATGCTCACGCCGTTGTGGTTTGGATGTGCTACCCTCCCTGCCTTCCTTCCCTCCTCTCCCCCTTCCATTTCCTCACCTTTTTGGTTTTCCCCCTTCTCCCTCCCCACATTCACAATCCGCCCCCCTCCCTCCTCACAGAAAGTTTCCAAAGAAAGGAACATTTGGATCTACCGGCACGAATGCTTCCAGCGCGGCCGCCCCCAGCTCTTGGACATGCTCAAGAGGAAAACGAGCAATGCCCACCACCCCCACCACCCTTACAACATCCAGCATACCATGGGGGGGGGGAGGGCGGGGGAAGGAAATGGCGGCGGAGAGGGAGGGCAGGGGATGCCTGGGAACGAGCATGCGACGAAGATGGCGTTGGCGAAGATGACGTCCAAGGAAGCAGGGCGCCATGGCGGGAGGGCCCCTTCTGGGGGAAGGAGGAGCAAGCCCTCCCCTGAATTCACGTACCAGCCCGGCTTTTTTTCCCCGCTTTCCCCGGCCCCTCTTCCCCCTTCCCCGTACGCACCCCCGCAGCACCACCCCCACATGCAATGCCAGCCT